CACCAATATGCAGACTGCATATAGCTAGTTTGAAAACTTACAGATTTTGATTTGATTTCTTGTGTTTTTTGAACTCCTTGGGGTCTAATTAGTAGGAATAGATGAAAACTTGAGCCAAAAGTTTGTATTTGAAAAAGTTGTCTATAGGCCATATTTGCCTCTATGGCCAATATGCATTAAAACTGTAAAAAAATTATTTTCTGTTCTATGGCAGGTATTTGAGTTCTGTTTTTTCTGAAATGTGCAGATAGTCCATGTGAATATTGGTGCAAAATTTCAGCATTGTAGCTTTGTAAGTTTTCACGCAAAAAATTTATTTGTCTTTGAGCACTTCTTGTGCACCAATATGCAGACTGCATATAGCTAGTTTGAAAACTTACAGATTTTGATTTGATTTCTTGTGTTTTTTGAACTCCTTGGGGTCTAATTAGTAGGAATAGATCAAAACTTGAGCCAAAAGTTTGTATTTGAAAAAGTTGTCTATAGGCCATATTTGCCTCTATGGCCAATATGCATTAAAACTGTAAAAAATTATTTTCTGTTCTATGGCAGATATTTGAGTTCTGTTTTTTCTGAAATGTGCAGATAGTCCATGTGAATATTGGTGCAAAATTTCAGCATTGTAGCTTTGTAAGTTTTCACGCAAAAAATTTATTTGTCTTTGCGCACTTCTTGTGCAACAATATGCAGACTGCATATAGCTAGTTTGAAAACTTACAGATTTTGATTTGATTTCTTGTGTTTTTTGAACTCCTTGGGGTCTAATTAGAAGGAATAGATCAAAACTTGAGCCAAAAGTTTGTATTTGAAAAAGTTGTCTATAGGCCATATTTGCCTCTATGGCCAATATGCATTAAAACTGTAAAAAATTATTTTCTGTTCTATGGCAGATATTTGAGTTCTGTTTTTTCTGAAATGTGCAGATAGTCCATGTGAATATTGGTGCAAAATTTCAGCATTGTAGCTTTGAAAGTTTTCACGCAAAAAATTTATTTGTCTTTGAGCACTTCTTGTGCAACAATATGCAGACTGCATATAGCTAGTTTGAAAACTTACAGATTTTGATTTGATTTCTTGTGTTTTTTTAACTCCTTGGGGTCTAATTAGTAGGCCAAAAGTTTGTATTTGAAAAAGTTGTCTTGAACACATTTTGTGCTCCACTGTGCAGACTGCAAATAACTAGTTTGAAAACTTACAGATTTTACCTCGATTTCGTGTGTTTTTAAGTACTTGGAATATATATGAAAAATACAATTCTTGATCGAAATAGGGTTAATTGTCGAAAATGGGTAATAGTCGTATTTGATTCTATGGCTTGTGATTGTAATTTGTTGCTTTGTATTTTGATAGGTGGAAAATAGAAAAAATTATCAAAATTGAGTTCTTTGTAAAAGTTTGGTCATTTTTTGGTTCTGTGGTCTTTTCCAGGAATAACGCCCATAATTCTTTTTGAAGGGCAGATTATTTTAGAGATTGTTTTAATGGATTTTCTCTAGAAACTTTATGGATACTATTGTAGTTTGGTATTTTAGGTTCTATGGTTATTAGAACGATTGTTTTTCTAATTTGATTTTAACCATTTTTAAAATTATGCGACTATTGTCTTTACCAGAGGCAAGAAATAAACAGCACGTTTCGGACTATGTAGAAGGTTAATTCAATAGTAATCAAGACAATTAGTAACTGGTTACTAGTGACTACTCGCTCAGTCAGTCTGCTTTGTTTATAGCAACCGGTAAGTCGACTTTTTGAAATTTGCTGAAATTTTAGATAGATTTCAATAAATGTCCCCTTCCTCTCGATTTGATAAAGTAATATTTATTGTATTAAATATATTAATGAAAGATTCATTGCAAAAGTCCATTGCAAATTGTTTTTGAGATAAAAATGAAGTAAAGCTTGGCTTTTAACTAGGACTCAAAATAAGGAATATGAATAGAAAATTAGCCATTATTTGGCTCCCTTTCTCAAATTACTTTTATACGCTTTATTAATAAAGGAAAGTGCCTTGCCTTATTTTGTTTATCCCTCCCCACACCTCCGGCCTCCTAAACTAATTAATCGTAGTTCATTCTCCCCTTCGGGTGAGAGAATAAGGCAACCCATACACCGATAGACCTTTGACTGCTGATAGACATATGCCGATGACAATTTCAGCTCAATATGATATTGTGGTATTTTTAGAATGGTGTACCCTTTAGTTAGAAAATAATGTAATTCACAAATAATCCACTTCATAACATCTCTTCATCATAATTCCCTAAATGTCTATATAAATAGTCCAAGTTTCTTTATGTGCCTGCCTGTCCATGGGGGAAACCATTTTAACCAGTGTAATGGTTAAGTTAAAATGCAATTACAAAAGAACAGTTTTTTTCAAAAAGGATGCGTAACTATTCAACATAAAATTAAATATTTTTTTACACATCTTCGCCACTATCTGTCAAATTAACACATCGATAACATTTAGATTTTGATGATTTTGTCTTTTCGTTTCAGGCCAGGGTGCTCAATAGTGGCTTTTACTATTGAGTTAATACACAATAGTTGGGATACCATTCCCGTGGAGGTTAGTATATCATAGATGTACATTATAAGGGTATAAAATTGAGCACTATACAAATAAACCGTGCGCGTATAATCCTTTCTTTAAAATGATGTATCAAGAATGTTCAATGTAGTCTGATAACCTTTGATGCAACAGATATCATGATGAAGTCATATGATACTAGCTACATGTGAGATTTTTTACTAGACACCTGCAAGTGACAACAACTGAATCTTCCATTGGTACAAGTTTGGTTACTTGATTGATACAGATAGTTTGAAGTGAGTTTGATCAGAAAAGAAAAAATAATGAATTATATCCTGGTCAGTCCCAGTGACATTTATGCTCATACATCAGTTTTAATGAGCCAAGTTATTACACATGTAAAACAAAAAGTTTATTTCATGGTTGTATTATCATGGTGTTTTCTTATATTTCAGGGTTTCAAGTATAGTACTTGTCTTTAGCTACGGACAACATGGTTAGATATGGTGTACAACCTATGTTTTTGGAGGTAGCTCACAAGGAGCAAAATTTTCGCGTTTACGGGTTGGGCTCGCGTGTAGTTTAGTTGTGGCAGCCTGTGGGCTACCTTGCTAGGGCCACCTAGGTTGTACTCGGCTAAGCTGCCATATCATGTCCACCCAGCCTCTCTTGAAACAAAGGGCGGTAAGTCATTCTCATTTTATAATATTTAGATATTTGTTGACTTCTACCTAGTTGATTTAGAAAAGGTGTGCGAGTTTACTTTATATATAACCTTTGATTGAGTAGAAAAAAATCCCACTTTTACAAGCCAATTACACGTCGTGTCTCACATGGTATAGCTATACAGAATCATCTCTTTCACAATTTTCAAATGAATCTGGTTGAGAATTAATTTAAATCATTGTTGGGATTAAGGACTTGAAGGATCAGGGGTTAGATAAGCAAATCAAATCACTTTTATTCAATAAAGATGAGTCGGATCAGTTAGCATAAGCTAACGTTTTTTATGCGGAGGAATTTCTCCGCAGGGGTGTTGCGCAACTTGAAACATAGACAATGAAATGCCAAGTATGGGGATCAGTTCTTGATTGGTTTCAGATGAAAACACCTTGACTATAGCAATGA